AGCTCTATGGCAAATTTGGTCTACAAATTTCAAGTAGAAATAATCAAATAAATGCTATGAAATGTTTCCATTTCTAAATAAGAACAATCATCTATGTTTTCCTAACGAAGCTCTTGTTCAGCACTGGCCTAGGACAGTGAGTGAGGCTTAGAAATTAGGTAGTTAGGCCTGGCGGGAACTCATACAATGTAAAGCTGAAAGATCACAATCCATACATATAAACTTGTATTCTTCAGATGAAGAAGCTTACCTAGGACACAGTGGTTAATAGGGAGCAGAACCAAATGAGAAGTTAGGGCATCACGTTCCTAAGTCAATAACCTTCCCCTGCATGACCTATTTCTACAGAGTTGGTCCCAAGGTTCCTAACACCCACTTCAAATTGCTCCCAAAGAAATGAATAAATCTAAAGATGGGGAGAGAGAAAAGGAACAGAAGCTGCTCCATTTAAGAAAAAGGAAACTTATGAAAGACAAAAAAATCATCTCATGTTTATTTCACTAAAAATGGTCAGTTAGTTAAGAGCAAGGAAGTGACTTCATTACCAATGTCTGCATTTTTCATTCCCATGAAATTACTCTGATCTCTTTTTGAAATGTACTGCTCTCTGTTTGTGCCTAAAAAATGAGGTATATATATTAATAACTTTAGGTTTACTGTACATAAAATTAAGCATACTGATGAAAAATTACCTACTTAGTAAAATTTTATATAGGAAGCATTCAAAAAAAATTTTATCACTTACTTGATTCATTAACTCAACCAAACACCTATCAAATGCTGCTTAATAAATCCCTACTATAAATACTTAACAGTCCAAAATAATGAGCAATTCCTTAGCACCCAGTTTCACTTTACTAGATGAGACCTATTCTTATTTACATTTCATAAAAACATGATGGAGGTCTTTCCAATCCTCCAATCTTAGACTGGAAGAAACTGGACTCTGTTTGAATGAGTGATTGTTGGACCAAATGATTTCTAGCACTCCTTTTGCCTTCATCAGTGTGTACTGTAGTCAGGTTCAGCAACAGCTGTTGCCAAAATAGGCCTTATTTTCTCCATGTGCTGCTTCAAGGTACAGAACATGAAGGTGTAAATACATCTGTCTTTTGCCATTTGTAGTTCTACTGGCCTTGTGCATGTCTTGGAGTAAGACAGATGGTCCCTGACACTGCACAGGCTTCCAGGGATATATATTTCCAAAAATAAGAAGGCAGATGTGAAATATGGTAAGCACACGTTTTATCCCCTCAAGGTTTGAACTGAGGCTTCTATCTCAATTTGAATATTTAAATATAGGATCCTAGGCAATCCTTAGAAATCTCTGTGCTAGAAATACAACTTTTTATGCTTATTTTGCCTTTATGCCAAATATCTAGGACACGGAATAAATAAATGCTGATCTATCTGAGGTAGGTATATAATTTTATTGGATACATTATCAGGTATATTGGAAGTAGTCACAGAACTTACATGGCTACAAATGAGTCACAGCTCTGTGTTCTATTTCTACATAATCCATGTTAAATACTTACTGTTAATTTTATTTATTTTTTTAATATTTTATTGTTATGTTAATCCCCATACATTCCATCATTAGTTTTAGATGTGTTAATTTTATTTTTAAAATGTTAGCAAAGGCATGGCATAGAAGCAAAGTTAGAAAAAACTGGAATTTCCAGAACAAAAAGAGACCTGGAAAATGAAAAGCCCATTTGCTCACCACTCTGGTGACCTTAATATGGCAATCAAAATTCTCAGTAAATACAATACAATTTAATGGAAATAATGCAAATTAGCTAACTGCAGATTTAGAATTGGTCATAGTAAAAAAATTTAAATAAAAATGAAACAAATATAGCCTTTAAAATCTAATGGGATGAAATCTAATGACATGAAATGTATGGGATTTGGTTCAAATCTCAGCATATACCAAAAACAGAAATTAAGGGAATATGTTTTGTTCTCATAAAACAAATACTACTTTTGGTAAGGCAAAATACATGTATTTCCATGAAAATGCTCAATTTTAAGATAATAAAAACCACAAATTGTATTCTGAAAATTCTATGACCAAATGTTGGGGTGACTCAGAGTCAAAGAATTATAAGGAAAGTCCCCTATAGCAATTTCTGGTTATAATCAACAAACTCTTCAGAAGGTGGCTTAGGGGTATGAAGTCTTGTAATCTAGCAGCAGCCAACTATAAGTTACAAACACTATTATCATAGTGTTTATAGGTCACTGTGATCTGTGTTAATAGGAAGCAAGAGAAAGAATAGAGGGAGGAATGGGAAAAAAAGAATTGGAGGGAGGGAGGGGAAAAATAGCAGGTGGGGCAATTTGTGTGAGCTAAAGACTCTGGCACAAGGACTGACAACAACTACATAAAAAAAACGAATAGTGAGTTTTAGAATCTCTTCTTTTGATAACTATCCTACAGTTATAGAAGAGAATACCCTTGTCTTTAGAATTTATATGTTGAAATTTGTAGGAATAAGGGGTTACTAAGTCTACAAATTCCTTTGAAACAACTTAAGAAAAATATGGGGTGTGCGTGTGTGTTGTGTGTGTGTGTTGTGTGTGTGTGTTGTGTGTGTCGTGTGCCTGCACACACGTGGGCAGAATGAGCAAGTGTGAACGATAAGGCAAATAAGTTAGACTGTTAACATTTGGGAAATCTGGATATACAGGAATTCCTTTTACTGGCCTTGTAACTCTTTTTGTAAACCTGAATCTATGTGAACATTTTAAAAATTACAAACCAGGTATTCACTGTGGGACAAATATTATTCTCTTTAAACACTTCAGTACAGGACATGCTAAAAAGAATTCAAAAACTCAGCAAAAATAAAATGGTCTGAGAATTGAGATAAGAAGCCAAGTCAACAATGTGATATGTGTATCTTGAACTAACATTAATTTCAAAGTATGTAGCTCAAATTCACATAATTTATTAATCATTAATAAATAATTACTAAGTTGTCTATAAGGGGGCATAATATACATACTCTAGGAATCGAGGAATTTTGACTTTTTAAAAAGAAAAGGAAACACAGAATTTATCTAAGTTCATAAAGTATGGCAGCGGACGGAGACACCAGATGATTAATAAGAGTTTCTGCCCATCTAAGGGCAGAGAGAGAGAGTAGCAAGAGAGTGTGAAAGAGTAAGTGAGAGACTATCTTTTTATTGTGGAAAATTTCAAATATATACAAAAGTAGACTTAGTTTCCACTCCTCCCCACAACTATATTGAATTAAATTCTAACATCATAGGATTTCATACATAGAACCTCAGTCACTATTTATATATATAGAAAAGCTTATTCGAAAAAGAGAGCTAATTCTTTGCATTATAAAAACAGCATAGCTCTTAAGTTTTAAAAACAACAAACACCAGAAACAAAGCTAGAATTAAATTCAAGAAGAACAATTTTGAGTATTCTTTCACTGAGATTCAGGAAACACACATAAAAACTCATAAGTACTTTGCAGAATTGTATAATGCTCAGTTGAATCAAGAAGGTACAATTACATACTGACTTCTATGAGTAAAAAAATATTATGACTCAAGATTTATCCAATTTTTATTTGATTCTACATCCCAAAAAGTAACATCATACAAAGAAAAAATGAGCTAATTATAAATATAAGTTAATAACCTCTTTCTTATTCATAGATACTCCTACTTATTTTAAAATAAAGAAACTAAGAGGAAAGGGAAGTCAAAATTCTATTTAAATCACTGAACATAAAGAGTTAAAAAGCCAAAATCAATTTAAAAAGAAAGGAATATAGGCCAAATGATCTATATCATAACATGTCCAATTTGGGGCCTAGGAATGCTCTATTTTTCCTTCACCGCACCCTTAACATGCCACAAACTCAATTTTATTTCTGCATTCAGCAATAAGATCATTTTGTATACAAATACTACTCCACTACGTAGAGTGTCCATTTCTGTGCCATGGTGAAATCTGGAGTTCAAAAGACTTACCCCTGAGAATGAGTATTTCTTCTCACAAAAGTGACTTCTACAAACACTTTACCACCCAGCACAAAAATATTAAGACCTTTTGATATAGCAGCCAAATAATTTACTCTATTCCTTTTGTTGGAAAGACCTTGAAGACTATTTGAAGCTAGGACTGGGTTTTCTCTGGACTACCTGAACACAGAATTTAAGACAGCTGTTTCATTTCGAATTAGGCTAAACCTCAGGACTGCTTACTGATGAAATAGGTAATTTGCCGGTAGACATATATATTTTCTGGTACAAAATGGAATTTCAGAGTCATCACATGATTGATCATCTAATGATATCTTAGATTTAACACTTTATTTTCAGGAACCCAAAGCAGGGATAATTAAAAATTTTTTTTAAATAGCTAAAATAAGCACAGACACATCAGGTGAGTCATCAAATGTCTTTGAGGATGCTAATGACCAATCGTGAGTAAAGCCCAAATCTTAGGACTCTGGCTTTTGAAAACTACCCATAACACCACATTGTCCTGACACTAATGACAGATCGTTATATGTAAATTATACCACAATATAGGCGATTTTTTGACTTTTAGAAACACGGTTGTCATCTGAAGTTCTTTCCTTAGTATTTGGGCCAGTTAAAATTTGGGAGTCATTATAAATCCAGATTTATAATGGATTTTGTCCACAAAAGCAAGAAACTGACACTGTACTTTCAGAGAAAGCCGTAAGGCAGCAAGTGTAAGACTGAGAAGATGGGTCTGGTTTTGATCAGCCAATACTAATTTTCACAACTTGTCACTGCTTTGTTTTTGCTATGGATACATGGTTGTATTCAAGTATGTTTGTGCATGTTCTATACTTTGTACTTAATCTGCTGCCATGAAGTTTCATGTGGGCTGGAAATGAGGAGCTAATTAAACCACCCAAAGGAAATGTACGTTTCATTTTTATGTATCCAATCCTCTGAAACAGCTATTTTAAAAAGTATCAAGCCTAAGGCCTTACCCTGTTCGTTTGGTGATGGTCCCCAATGTCATTGGCTGCTTGATTTGCGCAAGAGGCATCAGTACCATCAAGCTGGGGAGAGGAGAGAGCCGGGGGTTGCCAGGGTTGTTGTTGGCAAAATTATTGTAGGAGTCTTGGCTGTTTAGTTTCCCTACAAAGAGAAAAACAAAGAAAAGCATCAGCAAGGGACATCACCTTCTCTGATGGAGTTTGCACTCACCCCACTAATCATTTAAGAAAATTTATCAAAGGCAGAATTGATTTGAAAAGAATCATGGTTATATGGATGGGGAAAAAAAACCCAGGATACTGATAACACCAAGTGTGACTTGATTATGAACAGAGACTGTGGGAGGAATGGAGGATACAGAATAGATGTTAAATGGTTATACAAATAATTAGTATAAAATTTAATTATAATTTTATGGTGTTATGAAGAAATATAGGATAGCAAAAGAAAATAAAACAGGAAGATGTAAAGTAGTCTAGAGGAGGCATGGAGCATTTCTCTGAACAAGCTTGAGAGTAAGTGGGTAGAATATTCCAGCCACAGCAGCCTATGAAGGCTGGGAGGGTGAAAGAAATGTGAGTCATGAGAGGAGTTTCCAAAGACAGTAGCATGAGAGACACCGGATGAGACTAACAAAAGTCATAGGCAAAAACATCACCTTCTTCCCAATATCTACCACTCCCCACCATAAAATTTAAAAACATCAAATCAGGGTGCCTGGGTGGCTCAGTAGGTTAAGCGGCTGCCTTCAGCTCAGGTCATGATCCCAGGGTTCTAGGATCAAGTCCCACATGGGGCTCCCTACTCAGCAGGGAGTCTGCTTCTTCTCTTTCTGCCTCTGCCTCTCCTCCCTGCTCATGCTCTCTCTCTCAAATAAAATCTTTAAAAAAAAATAAAAACATCAAATCAACATTTCCTTTTATTTTATGTGGGGCATTAATATAAAAAAATAACAAGAGTCGTTATGGCTCACTAACAACTAGGAAAAACAAACTCATCTGTGAAATAAAATCTGATCCGCAGAGGGAATAATTACTCTCAGCTCACCAGGAAGCCAAACTCCTCCTATGTACTTATCTTTTCTCCCTCTCCATGGTTTTATATTTTCCAGACTATCCTATAAATGAAATCACAGAATATGGAGCTTATTGGGTCCAGCTTCTTTCACTTGCCAATAAGCATCTGAGATTCATCCACTCTATATTTTCCCAAAAGTATCAATAGATCTTTCCTTTTTATTCTTGAGTATAATCCTATTATATGGAACAACTTCAGTTTGTTTATCTAGTCACTGGTAAAAGGACATTTGTTTCCAGCTTTGGCTATTATGAATAAGGGTGCTATAAACATTTATGTACAGGTTTTGTATGAATATAAATTTCCTTTTTGGATAAATCATCTAGGAATGGAATTGCTGGTCATAGTAAATGAATGTTTGCAGAGACATCATGATTGTATGTTTTAAGGTCGTAAGAAAATGCCAGTTTGACAAAGTAGCTGAACCATTTCGCATTCTCACCAGTGAAGTATGATAATTCCAGATCTTCCAAATTCTCACCAGCATTTGGTATTGTTACTCTTTTTATTTTAGCTCTTCTGGCTTTTATTTGGATTTCTCTAATGCACAATAATGTTTAACACTTTTTCTGTTCATGCATTTATTTGTCATCCATATTTCTTTTTTGATAAAGTGCTCAAATCTTTCGCCCATTTTAAAAACTGGGTCACTGGATGTTATACACAAGCAATGAATCATGGAACACTACATCAAAAACTAATGATGTACCGTATGGTGACTAACATAACATAATAAAAAAAAAACTGGGTCAATATTTTTTGCTGAGATATAATTCATATGTTGTGAAAGTCACTCTTCTAAATTGTACAATTCTGTGTTTAGTATATTCTACAGAGTAGCACAACCATGACCACTATCTAATTTCAGAACATTTTCATCACCCAAAAAGAAAGCCCATACCTATTAGCAATCACTCCTCCTTTGGCCCACCCCTCAGCCTTTGACAATCAGAATCTTCTTTCTGTTTCTATGGATTTGCCTATTCTGGATACTTCATAAACAGACTCATACAATGTGGCCTTTTGTGACTGCTTCTTTCACTTAGTATCTCTTCAAGGTTCATCCATGTTGTGCCATATATCAGTAGTTCATTCTTTTTTTTATAACCAAATAGCATTCCATTGCATGGATATACCACATTTTATTTATCCATTTATCAGTTGATGAATATTTGAGTTGCTTTCACTTTTAGGCTATTATGATTAATGTATCTATGAACACAATTAAGTGCACAGGTTTTTATGAAGACATGTGCTTTCAGTTTTCTTAGGTATATACACCTAGGAATGGAATTGTTAGGTCTATATTTAACATTGTGAGGAACTGCCACCCTGCGGTTGCACCAATGTATGAGGGCTCCAACTTCACATCTTCAACAGTACTTGCTATTGTCTCTTATTTTAGCCATCCTAGTGGGTATGAAGTGGTGTCTCATTGTGGTTTTGATTTGCATTTCCCTAATTACTAAGGATGTTAAGCATCTTTCTCATGTGCATTTCAGTAATTTGTGGATCTTCCTTGGAGAAACGTCTAACCCAAAACATGTGCCCATTTAAAAACTGGATCGTCTTTTTATTGTTCAGTCATAAGCATTAATCATATTCTCTAGATGCAAGTTCCTTGTCACATATATGATTTACAAATATTTTTCTCCCATTCCATGTGTTTTCTTCTCACTTTCTTCATGGTGTGCTTTGAAGCATAAAAGTTTTTAATTTTCATGGAGTCTACTGTGTTTTTTCTTTAGTTGCTTTTGCTTTTGTTCTCAGATCTAAGAAATCAATGCTGAATGCAGGGACACAAAGATTTATGGCTATGTTTTCTTCTAAGAGTTTTATATTTCAGCTGTGATATTTAGGTCTCTGATCCATTTTGAATTAATTGTTATAAATGGTGTGAGGTAGGGGTTCAACATCATTTTTTTGAATGTTGGATATCTACTTCTTCCAGCACCATTTGTAGAAAAGACTATCCTTTCCCACCTCAATGGACTGTCCTGGCACCCTTGTCAAAAATCAAATGGCTACAAATATAAGGAATTATTTACAGATCTTACTCTCACATTTTAAAAGTTCTTTATATATTCTGGATATAAGCCTTTGGAAGATATACAATTTTCAAATATTTTCTATCACCCTGTAACTTGTCTTCTCATTCTCTTACAGATCTTTCAACAAGCAAAAGATTTTTTCCCCGATAAAGTCCACTTCATGAATTTGTTTTTTATATGTGGTGTTGAACTGATGAATTATTTGCCTAACCCCAAGTCAAAAAATTCTATCTAAAAACTTTTAAGTTTTATATTTTACATTTATATATATATGATTTATATTATATGATACAGTTAATTTTCTGTAAGGTATGAGATGTGATTTTTTATGTAACAATGAAATGAAATGAAACAAATGAAAGCAAATAAAACAAAAATCTCCAAAGCTTAAGTGAAGTTTATCACAACTTTACAAGTTGGGGTTTAGGATTTTTTTTCTGTTTATTTTTTAATCAGTGCCCTCAAAATATTACTGGTAATGTCTATTATTCCAATATTATGATACCTGAAGCCTGAGGCAAGGCAGATTCCATGATCTCTGTAATTCTTTCTACTTAACTGATATGTTGGCCAAATGACAAATTTTGAGCTAAATTTTGTTGGGCTGAAGTGTTAGGCCAATTTGTAGTGCTTTCCTGACACAAATAGAAACCACATATAGTCACTGGGGGAAAAAAAAGAGAGAGACCAGCGTATCAAAAGGGAACATACTATATTCTGGAGTGGAAGCACCCACTTGGACTTTTATTATTTCTGTATTATTTGGTGTCACCACCTTGTGGCCTACAGCTACAAAATTCACGTAAGTTACAAATCTCACAGAGAGTAGGGTATGAAATATAAAGGCAGAAATTGTTATTACATTGTCAAAGTCCTCTTCAAATACAAGCCACACGGAATTAGAAATTTTAGGTCATTTTGTTTGTTTTTCTGAATTTCCATGTTTTGAATCCTGGGAATTAGGTTTCTAAACAACGTATAACTTCTAAAATAGACAGTACACAAATATCTGCCCAAATACACATAGAACTCACTGCAGATGATACTTTAATTTTCAAAACTCTGAGAACCCCTGCTCAGTCACCTTTTTCCAAGAAAGAATAATGACTGTGAAGCATCTTTGTAACAGTAAATAATGGTTGTTCAGAGGGACTAAAGATAGAAAAAGAATAGAGAAAAATCATATTGAATTTCTTTTCTTTTTAAAAATAGCCAGTGGTTTGATGTCCTTCTTTAATGGGCCATTATATCCAACAAAACTTGCTGTTTCCACCTATACCTTGTCATTATCTGCAAAATTGCCAGCTAGGATTTTGATTGGGATTGCAACAAGTCTGCAGATCAGCTGAGGAACCACTGCCATGTTAACAGTATTAAGTCTTCCAAGCCAAGAACATGAGCTGTCTTTTCATTTATGTAGGTAGTCTTTCATTTCTTTGCACATTGTTTTATAGATTTCCGGGTACAAGTTTTATACGTCTTTGGTTAAATTTACTCCTATTTTTTCGATGCGACTTGTAAAAAGACTTTTCTTAATTGCACTTTTCAGATTGTTCATGGCCAATGTAGAGAAATACAATCAATTTTTGTACATTGATCTTGTACCCTAAACCTTGCTGAACCTGCTTATATCAGTTTTTTTTTTTTTTTGTGGATTCCTTAGGATTTTCTATACACATGATCATGTCATCCCCAGAGAAGAAAGTTTTGCTTCTTCCTTTCCAGTCCAGATGACTTCTATTTCTTTTATTGCCTAAAAGCCCTGGTTACAACTGCCAGTACAATATTGAATAGGAGTGGCAAGAGTAGACTATGATTCATTTTGAGTTAATTTTTGTATATGGACTGAGGTACGAGTTGAGGTTCATTGCTTTGAAATTGGACGTCCACTTGTTTCATCACCATTAAAAAGATGGTCCTTTCTCCATTGAATTGCCTTTTCATCTTTGCCAAAAATCAACTGACCATGTTTACATGGATCTAATTCTAGATTTTGTTCCATTGATCCATGTG